AAGCACACTTTAGCACTGACTCTTGAAAAAGGCATTTCTTTAGCATAAAAACTTCACCTTCACAGGAGGGCAGACCAGATCACAGGAGGGCAGACCAGTTCTCTTACCTGAACTGCTGATATAAAGCAGGAAGAAAGGGACACTCCACTGGATGGTCAGTCTCAGCTGATAAAGGGCGTTATGTAGTCTCTGCCTTTATACTGAGCAATGCAAAATTTTAGACAACTGATATTCAATCCCCTCAGCACACTATTTACCCCCATCTTCCTCAGTATGCTAGCCATCTGATGACCAGTCGCAGACTTCTTCCCACTCAGAATTCCATAAACCATTCTGCTACAGCCTTTAGGGAGGTATGGCTGACACAGAAACAAAAGCCTGAAGACAAGTAATATCTAACAAATATTAGACCTCTGTGACCTACCTAGCAGAAGGACTTAAAAACCTCTCCCACCAAAAAAGCCTCAAAAATTCCTCATCCTTCGTGACAATGAAGGACACACAATACAATTTTACAGTAGCACAGTTTACCATGAGAACTTCGGAATTACAAACCAATTTGTATATTCCCTGGGTTTTTTCCCCAGCTCCTTTTAAAGTAGGAGGAGCAATATTGCAAAAATAGTTTTGGATATCTTGTTCTAAGTCATGGAGATTCGCTTGCATCCTTTCCTGTGTAACTAAAAATCTTTAGCAGATCATTCCCTTCCATTCCACCACAGCCCATTAGTACCTACACCCAAAGAAGGAAGACGGCACGTGAAAGCTTTCACCAGGACAAAGAAACCTTAGCTTGCTATTAAAAATATTTTCAACATTTATCTACTAAAATACATTATTATTTGAAAAATATCACCTGCTACTGACGTCACTAAGCAGCTATTAAAATGCTAATCGTGTTGCTTTTTCTCCTTTCAATGTTTAATTGATTTGTATCAACCAATCTACTGTAAATCCTGAAAATACAGCGAAGTCCACTTCAGGAAGCTGCTCTTTGTGTTTACGGAATTTTCTTCCTACAGCGTCAACCAAGCCATCGTGGAGCGTTCCGCTTCCAGACATAACTGGTTAATAACTTTCTGAAGATATCCGCAGCAAAGCCGTGCCAGAGGCAGGTAATTCAGCATGGGCATTTGGAAAAAGAAAAAGGAAGAAAGGATCATAAGGTTTCTGGTTACTGTTCTGCCAACCACAGTTGATGACAGAAATTAAACGCTGCCATGCTCCTCAGCTGGAGACAATGGGATACATATTTAGAGTAAGTACACATATTCTAAGTGACTATGTATCACGTGCTAAGGCAGCAGGAGTACTTGTGAAATTCATCATGTCAACAAAACTGCTACAGACCTCTATTTCTACATTTTCCAGCCAAAGGCTTAAACAACAGATAACTGCTTACCACCTGCATTCTGTGGCTGCATTTTTAGATGATCTCACTTAGTGCTCATCTTATGAGCAGAAGGTGTCAAGTCTAGTTTGTTCCAGGTTTCCACTGAAATAATATTATTTTTAAAGTTTGCTTTGAAAAACAGCATTATCATCCAACCTGCTACACCCCAGAAACTTAAAAGTGAAGAGGGAACAGATAACCAACTTCTTATGCCAACCAGCAAATAATGGAGCTCTTTGTAATACAAATGCACACGTCCTGGAAGCAGAAAAGCTTTCAGAAGTTTGTTTTTTTAAAAAGATGCTTTGTCTTGCCTTTTAAGAGGCATACCTTAAATAATAGATGCACGCATACCTCTTAAACACCAACCCTTCTCCCATTTTTCAATATACATATGCATGGGCTTTCATTAAACAGATTCTGCTTAAACAATATGCTTGCCACTTCAAGCCAAGAACTTGAACTAACAGTTAATGACCTAAAGAACCTTCAAACAGAGTAAATGACTGTGGCCTGCTATTTATCATAATAAACACGTGAGTAGTTCTGCAATATCTGTTAACACCACATAAGTACAAATGTGTTTGCAAGATCGGACCACATTAATTGATGAAACCAGATGTAGTAACAACACAGACAGGTCCTAACAGCAACAGAGCCACAGTCTACGACGTGAATCTCGACAGCAGTCAGCGCCCTTTGACTCTGCCATCATGTAAAGCAAATGAGAGAAAACAGAGCAGCAGTGAAAGGCTTTTGCAAACCGTGGCCTGTACTTACTCAGTACAAATTATTAGCACTGCATGTATTTGTGATTCTAAAACCACTAGAAGCCTTTTGGCACCATTTCAACCCTTTGTCCTCCTTTCACAGGTTTAAATACATCATGTGTTCAATTTTGCAAAACCTACCAGAGATTAGAAACGTGTATTTTTTTTTGCAAAAGCCAGTGGTGCAGCACAAGGCATGACAATTCAAAGTACCAATATATTAAAATAAAAGTATTTTGGAATCATATACACAAATGTATAGTACTTAAAGCTTTCCATTAATGAAAAAATCTACTTTTCACACAAGAAACATAAATAGCTCTCAAGTAGGGCAGTGCTCAAAGTCCCAAGGCAATTATGTAATTATTCATTTTTAGACAGAGTATTATGTTACACAATATTGAAACTGACCCATGACAGTCTCTCAAGCAAGTCAGTATTTAGATACCTATTATACCTCTTTTTATACTGTCCTACATAGCCTTGTGAACCATTAGGAAGTTTTGACACTACAGGATCCTATTGGACCAAATAATACAAGTATTCTGTTAAATTATTAAATCCCTGTATGTCCAATAACAAACATAGCATTCAGTTTTAACACTTGATCTCCACTGGATCAAGCCAATTACTAAAAATAACTTTAATTAGTTAAAAATAACTTTAACTGGTCTATGATCTGTTATCAGCCTGCTCCTTCCCTAAGGAAGTTCCTGCAGCACCCTTAGGTGAGACTCAGTGAGTAGGGCTGAGAAGGAACAGTCCACCTGAAGCATCAAGCCTATAGTTCCCTGCCGCGGGGCAGACCACAGAAGAGCCCTTGACTACCAAAACCACATACCATTCCCACTCTTCTCTCTAACTGACATTTAACTACCTGCCAAGTAGCTTTACACTTATTTTTAACTCCCTTTTAAATTTTCTTCCCCATGGAGAAGGCCTGTGAGTAATACTTGGAAATTAGAGTGCTAAATTAAGAAGACTCTTATAGGCATCACATCAGCTTATCATTTTAGCATACGTAAAGAGATAGTCTAGTAACTAGGCTTTGGAAAACAAAGGTGGTTTACAGCACTTCAACCAATGAACTAGCTTTCACATGATTAACAGAACATAAAAATGGGAAACTGGTGTTGATTTATGACTGCAAAAATAAAATCCTACACATACAAGGAATATAAACACTTTGATCACAGAGCAGTTGCTTAAGACAGACAGAATTAAATAATCAACATGCACTCACTCACTGCAGTCGTCAGTTTTACAAACAGGAAGCGTTGCATGCATCTGTGCAGACTAAATGTAAATCAGCCACATGGCTATAAGCTTTAGCCAAGAAAAGAAGTTACTATGACTCTCTCCCCTCTCACTATGTCCTAATTTTGTTTCTAATCAGCTTCTCTGAAGTTATTTGAGTTGCTACACGTAAAAGTGACACTACCATTTATTTCCTAAAGGCTTCAAAAGGCAGGGACAGAGGTAGAGACACTGAAGTAAGGAAAAAGTAATACTATTCAGAAGCAAGCTCTTAAACAGAACCAGTAACTGTTGGCCACAGCCACAGTTTAAGCATTATTTAATGTTGGTTACCCCCATAAATTCCACTTCCTTATAAGGGTGTGGCAAGAGAGACTATTATATAGTTTCACAAATTAGGTCATAAAAAGTTGACCTAAGCAGGAAGAAGTTCTAAGGGAAGAGCAAGTTTTAAGAATTATACAGTAGAAACTAGTTACAATTTAAATGGCAGTTTGAACCTTTACACCCATAAATGTGAAACAAAGAACTTAAGGGAAAAGTGACAAAGTAAAACCAAGAAAAACGCTCACAAAGTGCAAAATAAATTCGTGGAGCACAACTTCCTAAACACAGTGAAGCCCAGACGATCACCCCTAGTGTGCAGATACATTTGGATTAGTATGTATATACTTGCTTGGAAAATAACGCAGAAAGATTGGACTCGTCTCCGAGGAACTTCAATATTGTTGTAAATGCATTTAGAACACAGCAATAGCATCCATGGTCTCCTTATCTGTCGGCCTGAGGAACACTGTCCTCATCCATCCAGACACGTAATTAGCTGCATCCTGGCATGCAGCTGTCCCGTCACTGGCTAAAACAACGCTACAGTCCGCTTGCAGTCGTGTCAATACAAGGAGAAGACTGATTACTGGAAGATAAATCAGACACCCTTTAATTTAGAGCAACCAGATTTTAATCTAGTGGTCCAGTGAAACCAGACAGTGCTAGCAAACATGTACGTCAGTCATCACATTAAAAGGAAGCTGTGGCACAAAGAAAGAGATGCCATCCTTGCCTATGTGGCACTGCAAAAACATCGCCACTCCCACCTATCGGTACAGGTTTATCGAGTAACAAACCCACTGGGGAGGAAGCAGTTTGCACGCACATTTCGCAACCTTGGCCAACTCATCACCTGTGGAAACAGCTCTAGCCTGAGGTACCAGTCGAGTGAACTCCCAGTTACATATCTGGTGTTATTTTTAAGGGTAAAACATCATCAGAATTAATAAAACCGCAACAGGCAACTGCAAAACACAATGATAACCTCTGCAGCTTATTCTGGATTTCACATATTTTATTGCTAGTGTGTGACAAATACCCACTTTGGCCAGAACTTGCAGTTTTATGCTTGCCTTCCTCTTAACATTTAAATGCACACCCAAGGCAATCTATTGGAACACTCAGGAGTAGATACATCCCACAAAAATACCACGTCAAAGGATGCAGCAGATAAATCATCTTACTTCGGTCTCTGTTTTGCTTAAAGTGCTGATGAACCCTGACTTCCCACGGCTGGGTCTCTTCACATGGATTCAGTATCCCTTCTTCCCTCTGAATCGTGCCCTGGTATCCAACTGAAAATTGAAGTAAGTATATTAAAACCATATATTTGGCATAAGAAATACTTTAGAGGGCTTGTGCTATCTTGGCACTCTGTGACATGAGAAGAAAGCAGAGCATGAAGCTGTAAAGAAAAAAAGTGAGGTAGCCAATAAGCCACAGGGTTCTTCCCGTGAAACAGACATTGTGTTATCTTAAATTGCACACAAAACTAAACATATGCGATAGGCATCCTGTGCATTCTGAAGTAAACAGCATAACAACACAAATGACAAAATAGCATAGTGGGCAAGGAACACATGGAAACGAGGAAGCGTAAATCTACTTAGATCATAGAATCACAGAATCATGGAATGGTTTGAGTTGGGAGGGACCTTAAAGACCATCCAGTTCCAACCCCCCTGTCATGGGCAGGGACACCTTCCACTAGACCTGGTTGCTCAAAGCCTCATCCAGCCTGGCCTTGAACACTTCCAGGGATGGGGCATCCACAGCTTCTCTGGGCAACCTGTGCCAGTGCCTCACCACCCTCTCCGAGAAGAACGTCTTCCTGATGCCCAACCTAAACCTCCCCACTTTCCGTTTAAACCAGTTACCCCTTGTCCGGTCACTACAGGCCCTAGATCTGTTTGTCCAAACTTAACTGAAGTTGGAGGAGGAAAACTCAGATTGGGTTGAAGTGGGAGTCCCTGCAAAGGTCAGCGAGGACAGGGATAACTCAAATATAACAAATGTCTGGGGAAAAGAAAAAATAAATTCAATAAAAAATGAAAGAATATTCAGCTTGTAAAATCTGCAAGCTGCTTCATGGCAGTTAGAAAAAGGGATTTAATGGAAGGCAAACATACAGCAGTAAATCTAAAATAACAGCTACAGTGCAGCACTTACTGAAACTAAACTGCAAGTTCTTTCCCAGTGCAGCAGAACAGCTCAGTTTGATCTTGGGAGAATTCTGCTCAATTCAGACAGTCCGTACTGAAGATGGCAGTTACAGGCTGCAATTCAGCCATATTCAGGTATTAGATGGAGGTCGTACCCTTCACCTCCCTTAACTAATTCTCTTTCAGGATTCAGAACTGCAGCAAAATTTGTAAAGAGCTAAACTGCAAGATGGCACAGCTTGTACAATAACCAGGTGGCTTTGACTTTAAACCTTATTCCTACTTTAATATCCACAGTGTACTGAAGTTTACTCCTCCGACGAGAGACTGTATCTCCATACAAAGAAAACAACACCTAGGAAAAATCCCTAATGATTTTGGCATATGGTAAATTATATCTAACTTGTTTTTAAACTCTTTAAGCCCCAATACTATACCAAGTAAGAAATCTGGCAGAGTACAACTATTGAAATTTATAGAGATAACAGGACAAGAAAAAAGCCATTCTTCAGCCTTAGAATTGGGAGCAGTTAAAGAGAATCAGTTAAGAGCCAGGCCTCTTCCTGCATGAAACTTAAAAGTTTCATCTGCCATGCTTAACGAACCATCTACAGAGAGAAATACAAGCCCATCATCTGAAGAATCATATATTGCTACTGTAGTGCCAAATAGGTGTTTCAAGCATTAAATACACAACATTTCTTCTGTCCACAGAAATAACTATTTGTCACTTTAAAGATTAAGCCTGTGTGTAGGAGAGGTACCAAAAGCTGCTATGACTGAAGCAAAAAGGCAGAATGGAAGGAAAACCTCAGGCAGAGTTGCAGTTGTATATTCTTCATTATGTATCACATTGGCTGAATATAAAAGTGGGCCCTGCACTACTCATGCTTTGAAATCTTAAATTTCATCTTTGCCACACCTTAACTATTTTTAAGTGTTATAGAAACGCAAGCATGATGTTTCTAGACAAGGAACTCCTATAAAATGGGGAAACTTTACCTGATTCCATTTTTACAACTGGCTTCTCACTACCATATTTGACAGCTCACTATATAAAAAAATCCCAAACTGTTCTTTGTCATGAACTCAAGCCCTTCAAGAAAACTAATGAATGCAAGAGTCTGCTTCAACAGCAGAAATCTCTTTCAGTAGGATATTCATTTCACTTAAATGTTGTTTCTTCACAAAGACTACCTTGTCCGTATCTTATCTAACAGCTACCTGATCTCATACTGTTAAAACCAAAGCTTTATTAGCAACACTTCAAATACCAACCTCACTGATGTGCTACGCCAAATTAAATTTAAATATCCTTTTTTTCCAGACTCTACAGCTTCTTCTTCGTGAGGACAGCACATAACATCCATATTTTAAATGGAATTCTACGGCAAGACGTGTTCTGCTTAATGACACCAGTTTTACTGAATTGCTTAAGCGGTTTTCTGCAGAAAGCAGGGAAAAGGACCAAAAGCAGCCAGGCTGCTAGCAGAACAAAATACACTATGAACACTCACCAGTGATCTTTTGCATGCAAAAAACGTCACTTGCAAACTCCTACAGTGTCCTTCCCTCAAGCACTGTTTAGGGCTTTTGTTTTCCTGTGAGATGAAAAACAAAGCATTAAAAAGCGACGGGATTTCTGCAGCCTGTCAGGCATCCGAACACTTCAGACAGGGCGTACTCGGGCGTTTGCTACCGTGCGGTGACTTGCACTTTCTTCTGAAGCTGCAATTTTTCAACCTGCTTAAAACACTAACGAACAGGCTTCAGAGGGAGGACGTAACAGCTTCTCTCCCCCGAGGGCCGGATCACGGCGGCGGGAGGCCGCCCCTCCGCCCCTCCCCACGCAGAGGCGCGCTCCGCGCCCCGGGGTGCCG